GCTATAAAACTCAAACCCTGACAATAGCCCACTTCACTGTCATATACCGCATAAGCTTTAGATACTTTGAAAAGAGCATCTTGACCTTAAGGAAATTTAAAAATAAAAACGATTTTATACATATATTATAAAAAACGTTTATAGGTTTTTATTTACCGGAACCACCACTTTCTTTAAAGCATTTATGTGCTGGAAATGTGCGGTGTATATCGCGCTGTATAACAGTTTCACATTTGGTTTCCTAGAAAAGAAATAAATGAATAGACACAAGACGTAGGTAGCATTTAACAGGGCTGTCACTTACTTTGGTTATTAAATTCTTATACATATCGAGCATTTCGGTTTTACTTTCCACTCCCGCCAATTTTTTCCAAATCATTTCACGCAATGCCTCCGGTACTCCAAGACGAACTAAAGGTGCTAAATTTTTGGGACGTTTTTCACCATCCCATTCCTTAAGTACCGGATCCCATTCATCTAGAGTATCTTGTGAGCAATCTTTAGAAACTTCACCAGTACCACTCAATAAGGGTTCATCGCCATCTGACAAATCTTCTGGATCAGTGGGACATTCATCTTCAATCGAGGCAATTGAAGCGGAGCGTACTATACGTGACAAATTATTCATGCCAAATTTAAGTAAATATGAAGAAGATGTTGACTGTTGTGGTGGTTCGGTTATCTCTTCAGATGGATCTATAGAGCTGACCTTCCAGCTATACTCATCTGTGGTGCGTTTCAAGTGTAAATAGAAACGCAAAGTCATGGGACGCTTTGAAATAAAATGATCCATTATGCGCAATTCACTAGCAGACTGTATGCTAACAGGAGTTTCCATAACAAATCTTACAGGCTCCTGTATGCCACGAATAACAATATCAACCGCCACGGTTAAGAAAGTCTTAGAAGTTTCCACATTAAATTGTTCAAAAGCTTTTTCGCCAGCCTTCCATTCTGCACGAATATGATAGGGATTTAAACATAACGGGGTAAGTGAAGCTGGAGCATCACCATTAGCTGCAGCCGTTATATTACTGCCATTGCCACTTGCACTGGAAGCAGCAGCTGCCGTTGGTTGTATATATCCCATGGTTATCATATCAATCAATTGCATATCAGCTTGTCTCACCAGCTTGCCGGGACTTAATAATACACCAAAACAACGTTCAATCAATAAGGGCTGTAAAACAGTCGAGGGAGTTTGTTTGACTGTTATATAAACTTCTTTATCTGTATTGGCCCTTAATTTAAAGCAATGACGATCACGGGGCACTGGAGTATAGGAGTTTTTAGCCACCTTTTCGCGTATCTCCAAAGAAACTAAAAATTCATAACCGGCCGTATTTAAGGGATTACCACTGATATCCGATGTTATGGAATTCATCATATTACTGTCCACAGCAGAAGTAAGACTGCAAGTCATGCTAGGTGGATAAGTCTGGAAGGCCTTTTGGAAACAGGCTGTTAGAAAAAAACACCATACATTATTTTTCAAGAATAGTTTTATATAAACACAACTACTTACCGCTAACTTGATTAACCGCTTCGGGTATATGGCAACGAAAAACATGACACTGAAATAAAGAATCACCATGCAACCAGGTAAAAGCAAAACATCCATGTTCCACTGTCTCTATTGGTCCACGAAAATACAATATAATACTTTGTATTTCATAGGTGGCTATGATGGTATTGCTATCGGCATCATGCAACACAACCAAACCATCCGAACAATTCGGTATACTGATGGAAATTTTGAGACCATTCGAAGCAGTGCCATTATTTAGTTCACTCATTATGCGATAAACATCCAGCTCTGATTTCGGAGCATTTATATTGGCTGCACCCAAATAGGTGACACCAGAAAATATGGTGCAACCTTGATCTATTTCGGAAACTTAGAAAAAAAATTAGCTTTTTCTATTTCTGTTTCTTTTGCATAAATTCATCTTCATATTATTTAAACTTGTTAATCCTACTATCAGAAATACGTCTAGACTAACTGTAACTGCAACATATTTTAAGCAAAATCTAGGCTTTATTAGGGGAATAGATTGGTAACGGACAATGGAGATTTCCCTTCTTTACTCTTCACATCTTTCTTATTATTCTATCTTCTTCATATATTCTTTGCTCTTTCTTCTGGGGAAAAACAATAGACCCTTTGCGTCAAAACTTTTTTAACTAAACTAAACTAATACAGAAATATTTGAGTATAACCTAAAAATTAAAATTTTGACTAAAAATTCAAAATTTAAAGTAAAATCTAATATTCATTGACTACCATTCTTTTACTAAAAATTCAGTTTTTCACTAAAAACTTAATTATTCACTAAATTTTCTTCTTTATTCACTAAATTTTCTTTTTGATCTCTAAGAAAATTCAAATATCTTTTAAATAAACACTGTGAATTGCTTTATGGTACTTACTCTCTTCATCGGTATCATTTCTTTCGGGTTTCATAACATCTTGTTTCTCATCCAAATCAACACCTCCATCTCCGCTTGTACGCACTGTCATACTGGCAGGCATATTTCCACCAGTATTCGCATCTATACAATCATAAAATACCGATTGGCCAACACGATTTAATTCTGAATTCGATTCATCACTTTTGGGTGTTGGTGTATTATTGCTGTTGTTGACGGTGGTGGTGGTGACATCTTTTACAGCTAAACGTGGTGGTATTGTTTGAGTTTTCATCGCTAAAGCTGCTGCTGTTGTCGACTTATCGTGTGGTACTAACAATGCTGGACTTGTTGTGCCCATTAAGGGCAATGTAAGTGATTTATTCTTAAGATTTGTATTATTCGAAACACCCAGACTACCACTTACTAAAATCGAGAAAAAAAATAAATCAATAAACTTTCAATTGACTCGTAAAGGCCAATTCAATTATAAGAATTTATGATGCGTTTTGATAACTTGCTTACGTACTTGTTTGGTTTGTATTTTTGTTTTTGGAGCAAAGTATGTGAGTAAAGAGGGGCGTATATTTGATGTATAGTGTTATTTATTTTCTTTGGGTATCATTGATGTTACCATAGCAGCTTAATGTTTATAAATTTCTTCAGCTGTTTTAACAAAGATTTGGAAAACAATAGGTACGCCTAAAGCGTAATACATTATCTGTATTAAAATAAAATCCAAATATAATAGCTAAAAGATGACTAGAAAGCAAAGTTAGACAGTCCGTCTGTTGGTTGAAATCGATTTTACGCAAGATTTTCTGGAGAATTTGGTGTTTTTATAGAATTAATAGTTGTTGATATATTTTAGTTTGAAAAAACATTAACCCTGATCCACTATGATTGTAAATCCAATTGGAAAATATATATCAATATATTATAATTTATGATTGCTAACAATAATAAAACCCGATTAGACCGAAATGGAAATTCTGCAAATATCCAAAAATTCAGCATTAGGGGAACATATTGTCGAATGCCAAAAATAACCTTGAGTAAATTTGAAGTAATAATTTTAAAAATCTTTTGCAAGCAATTGCTACATTTTAAAAATCTGTCGGCAGTTAAAAAATGTCTAAATATTTCCTGTAAGTTAGGGATTTCTTTCTTTACTTATAAGTTATAACTCTTTTAATAGGTATTAAATTTAATATTATATGGATATTTAAACCAATAGAAACAGGAAAACATCGTTTCAGCAAAATCTAAAACACAGGATTGTTTTTGAATCTATCTCATAATATGGATGGAGTAAGTTAACAGTATGTACATATAGCTCTTTAAAATATGTTTATCTCACAAAAGATCTTTAGGTATTCAAACAAACATGTTTTTTTCATTTTATTTAATTGGTCAATATAATATTATCATTAAAGTAATTATATTAATCAATTGTTGATACATAGTTATTGTAAATGGGTGACTCAACAATTAATGCAATACTATACAAAATGTCCACCCACATTTTCTTTTTATAATAGGTACCTATCTAACGACCTAATTTCTTATTCTTTTACAAAAAAAAAAAACAAATCCTCAAATTTTTAAACAGATTAGAAAGTAATATTTTCAACAATAACTGTGTATTATTTACCTTCTCCTGCTTTCTCAGATTCCAACTCTTTTAAAGCATCAGTCATAGCATTTTGTATATCCGAAATATTACGATTATTGGCAATATCCAATGATGGTTGTATATCAAGTGGTGTTGTCAAATTACTATCGGTAACAATTTCATATTCTCCACTTGTGGTTATTGAAGATTCCGAGGATTTCGTACTTAAATTATCATCCATGTTCGTATATGGCGTAGTAAATGATAATAAATGAGTTTCTAGGGGTCTCAAGAAGAGTAGGAGAAGTTTTTCTTAATATGCAAATTATTCACTTTTATTTTCTATTATTTCAAATTAAACATTGCAAAGTGTATTATTTTAAACATGTTTACCACATTATAATCGTTTTACATTGTGTACATTAGTAATTATAGGAAATATTGTCGGAATTTTAAAAAAATGTATTCCTTTTTTCAACCTTTTTGGTAAATCGATGACGAATCGCTCGCCTTCCTATTGTTTGTGTTATTTTTTTTATTATTTTCACTAGTATTGTGTTGAGTTATAATAAAAAAAAAGTATTGTATGTAAGTGGGGTATGATGTGACAATCAATTACCTCCTCGGGGGGTTTTTGTAAAATTTTCAATCTTACGTATAGAATTTTTTCATTTCATTTGCAAACTTATTTTAACTATTTCTTTTTATCTGCACATTTAACAAACTTATTACCAATATTCACATACGTTTACTTATTTTGTTTATAAATATTTGGAATTTTTGTTATTGTTTAATATTAATCGTGGAGAGGAAAAATTTATTTCTTTTATTTTTGCGATTCCTTTCTTTGCTTTTTTCTATTATACTTTAACTTTGACACTTGCTTTACATTTGCATTCTTTTTTTATATCGTAGATTTTTTGAACGTATTTTTTGTAATTTGTTCATTTTCCATAAATATGGCAACTTTATGTTTGTTTACCTGTCAAACATTTTGCACGCCGCGTCTTTTTGACAGTTAACCATACGTGAAAAAAGAAGGTTATATTATAGTATTTTAGTAAAATTTTTCCTAAGTGAATTGTTAATATTTTATTTGTTAAATTATAATAATTAAATTAAAAAAATGTGGCCCCGTTTTGGCGTAAAAGTGGGTAATAGCACCCTTTGCATAGCACATGTTAAACCGTCTGATACAAAACCAGATGTCATAGCCAACAAACAAGGAGATCGTGTATCACAAGCATGTTTATTATGGGATGGCTATGAGGAAATCGAGTGTGGTCTAACTGCCAAACAAAAAATGTCCTCCAAACCAAAACAAGCGGTGGCAAACAGTTTTCAGTTTCTTAAAGCTCCCGAAGACATAACGGAGGAATTATGTACAAAGGCTAGAAAAACGTTACCATGTGAATATGACGCAGACAAGCATACGTTCGTGTTGAAAGCAATACAGCCTGGGAATGACGATGAAGACAAAGAGGTTGTTAAAGAGATTTCAGCATTTGAAGTACAAGTGAAACTTTTTGAATCGGAACTAGAACTAGCCAGACAATATTACAGTGATGCTACCCAAAAACCTGTTGTTGTCCTTTCCATACCTAGTTACTATCCAGCAAACTCTTGGAATATTTTGGCCCAAGCCGCCGAAAAAGCTGGCTTCCATGTGGCTCAGATAGTGGACGAGCCAACTGCCGCCGTTTTAGCATACGGTATTGGTGAGGATGCCTCCAACGATGATGCCAAATATGTATTAACTGTTAAATGTGGTGGTCTATTCTCACATTTTGCGTTGTTCGAAGTTAAGCATGGTCTATATACTAAAATTGAATGCTTCGGCCCATTCCCCATAGGCGGACAACAGTTCACGGAAGAGCTGGTGAAATTTATTTGCGAAGAATTTCAAAGAAAATACAAATTAGATCCTCATGAAAGTCGTCGCTCATTAGCCAAGATCCGTACTGCTGCTGCCAACTGTAAACATATTCTGTCAACTCTACCCTCCACCCAACTGTATATAGATTCTCTAATGGATGGCGTCGACTTTAACAATCAGATGAGTCGTGCTCGTTTTGAGAGTCTCATACAACCAGTTATAAATTCGTTTATGCAAACAATGAACGAATGTGTAGAAAAGGCTTTGAAAGATCACCCGGAGATCAAAAAACTCGATAATATTGTTTTATTGGGTGCCACTACTCAAATACCCAAATTACAATCGGCCATCTCCAGCAAGTATCCCGATGTTGAAATAAATAGTTCCATATCAGCCGATGAGGTCGTAGCTGTGGGTTGTGCCCGCCAAACTCTTTACTTGGAAGATAGTGAGAAGCAAGTTTTAGAACAGTCCGAAGAATGTGAATGTGTAGCCGAAGAAGTCACCATTTGGCACGGTTCCGCTGAAGATGATGAAGATGCTCAGAAGCTTTTAAATCCTGGTGATGTTTTGCCCAAAACTGTAGTTTTAAACATTAAACTAAAGGACTCATCTCGGGATTCGGAAGTATTCCAATTGCGTTACGGTTCAAAAGTCAATGAGGTACATATCAAGAAGGCTGCCACCAGTATACCTGAAGAGGGCTTTGTACGTCTTGAAGCTGAAATACAAAAAGCGGAAAACAGTGTGCCACTCGTACGATTAAGATGTATATGATTGATTAAAGCATAATGATAGAAAGGACGCAACGATTGTTGGAAAGAGAAATAACGCCTTCAGAAATGCTTTTTAGATTTAATTTTTTCTTTTATTAAAAAACAACTAATAAACTTTCTTAAAATACAAACAATGCAATAGAAAAACTTGTTTTCTGTAAAAAACCAAAAATATGACTTTTATTTACACATTTTTGTGCATAGTGTTAGTTCATTAAAAATCCATTTTTTCTTCATTCATTTGCACAGCTTTTGCCTTTAAACTACTTTCAACTTTACGCAGAAACTCTTCAAATACCACCACACCCTTGAACATACTTGTTTTCTTATAATCCTTTATACGAAGTTTTTCATCTGTTTCTTCCTTATTTTTAGTCTTTTCATCGAATGCATTAATTTCCTGCAGCAATTGTGCAATGTTAGGCACAGTAGTAGGATTAAATTTACCTGCAGCATTTGCATTAAATGGTACACAAACTTTTCCCGTAGCTGGATGTATGCAAAAGGGGGCTTTCAGTAAATGATTAAATCCCTTAGTGACGTTAATATCTAAACGAGGATACAAGCAGGCCAATTGAATTTCTTCTATTATATTTTTTAATCTACGAGACCATGCGGAGGCAGTCGAATTGCAACGCATAGAGTTGGCATAACGCTTGAAAGCTTCCCAGACATCACGAGCCGGAGCACCATCTTGTAGATTATTAAGCAGAAACTGTTCGGCATCTTTCCGAGCCCCATCATCAGCAATAAACTGACATAGCTTGCTAATGCCTTTTGGCGAACAAAACAGATTCTGATCACTCAAAATTATCTCCTCAAACATGGGTTCTATTATCTTAAATGCTCTTTTAATGCTATGATGCATTTTCTCTCCTATATGAACTCTGGGAACATTAACTCCCTCAACCATGACATGTGTAACGACTTGAAAGTATTCAGCCACCGCTGATCGCCCTGCTGTATCCAAATGACGAGCATCATAATCACATACCCAACAATGGACACCACGACGACCGGAAAACACCCATAGTATGTGTTCCCATCCAAAATCTTCACGTGCTGCAACATCTAGAACACGGGCTGCAACAACCATAAATTTCCAGCATTTTTGGCAAACATCCGCTCCACTACAACAAGTACGTACATCATCATAATCGGTCATATCAATATCAAAAACCAATTCACGTTGTACTGGTGTCATGGCGGCAGCTGAAATGCGATTGTTTTTAGGTCTGCAAAAGGAAAAAAAATACAAGTTTAAAATTTATCAGGAATTTTATTTTAATCTTATAAATTTGTATTTTAGAACTCTGTAATGATTCCCCTATTACAGAGTCCATTCAGATCGAAAATGCAATATACCCATTTTTTTTTAAAATATCGCGTGGAATTGAAACCATTCCAATTAGATTTGTAACAGTTTGTATAATAAATAAATTTGTTAATCGATTAGAATGAAATAAAACCGCAAAAGTTTCGGCCGTTGTAGCAACTTTTGTTCCATTTTTATTTATTTTTAATGTATGCCATTAAACTATTTAAATCTACTTATTTAATTTATTCTAAGCTTTAGACAAACCGTACTCTATAACATTTTTGACCGGAACATTTTTATAACAACCCTTACATGTCCATATGCTTATTAATCTATTTTTAAAACAAAATAAAACCAACCTTGTATTCATAACGGCTCCAATATCAATTTTAAATGGGCATCTGGAACATAATTCCTTTTCCAAATCACTTTGAGTGTCAAAACATAAATAACGTATGTAAATATCGTCGTGTAAAGTAAACGAAATTTCCCGATTAGCAAATATACCCTCTTCGGCTAAAAATAGAAAGCATACAAAAGAAATAGGATATGATGTTTATGTTATTTTAAGGCTCGTGCATAGCAGTCGCAGTCATAATAAATAAACAGAGAAAATACCCAAAAACACATGTCCCTATTCTATTTTTAATCATTAGTGTTTCTCTTTGTTTACTTACATAAACCGTAGGAAAGCCATCTGTAGAATGGTTTGTGAGGAAATAATCGTTTGTAATACACAGGTAACATATCAGGTAGAAAGGCCGGATCATAGACCGCATCATTTGTTGCTGTTGTTGTCGGCTTTTGTTGTTCCTGCTGGTGATCTGAATTCACATGTTCGGTGGTATTATCTACTTCCATTTCAGGCATTCTAGGAATATTTATTTAAATAAAATAAAAGGAAATCTGCAATTGTAGAACATATATACATATATAAAAGAAAAGTACAGAAAAAGTATAAATGTATTCTTATTACTTTACAATATCCGAGTTTTTAAACTTCTTTTCTATTAATAAACAAATTGTTGTAATCGTTTTAATTTTTTTTATTAAATTATTTTGGTTTTATGGGGTTTTTATATGTTAATAAAACATTAAAGAATGACAAAAATATAATATATTTTTAAATATATAATTATTAAATCACTGATACTCGATATCTACACGTACGTTTGTACTCGCTTTTTATCGAGTCACTTGTTCGAATTGATTCCTATATGTACTATATGTATCAGTATCGTTTTTTAGCATACTTAAAGAAAAGATTATTAATTATTTTAAGTTAGTATTGTTTTAATTTTAGACTTAAAAGGAGTTTTCTTATTTGTTGCTCGCTCCTTCTCTGCTCCTATTTTTTAATATTAATATTATGTATATTTATTTTAATAATAATTACATTACTAAACATGGTCATCATGTTTGCGGTAGGATGTTTTTGTTTTCATTATACGAAAATTTCCTCATCCTATGTCGACACAAAATACATACATGAACCTTGTGCTATCTTTTATTTGATGATTTATTCTAAACCTATTATTCTATATTAATGATATACCAGAAACTTTTCACGCAACTGTCAGGCGTATATCTTGCATTTTATGCTGTTGCCACAGATCTTCAGAGTGTTTGGCGGGACCCGTACTGTAGAGCGTAACCGAAGCGATGTGATTGTTGGGCATCACTTCGAAAATGATGTCTTGATAACCGTAACAGAATGTAGAACCAAAAGGATTAGCAGTATTGGTAGATGAAGCCCTATGCAGAACGACCGGTCTTTCCGAGGGAGCCATGGCAGCGCTTATTTCATTCCACTTGGAATAAGCATTTATTGTAACAGAACTTGTGGGTGTATCTCCGTAGGAAGCACGAGAACCGCCGTCATTAAGAGATCGCTCTGGCTGCAGTTGAAATTGAAATTCGCACCTATGATACATGTTGAAATTAAAGTGTCCCGGATAGTTGGTGTGTAAAATGAATTTCTTGCATGTTTGGGTGCGAGCATCGAACAGAACATCGATGCCCAACGTAAAGTAGTTAAAGAATATATCACTGCGTTTGCTTTGAGCTTGACGATTGACATTGGAGGAATGTATTTTCATTTTATCTTCACTTTTGAAGAATATACGATTTGGCGCTCCCAGTTGAGTGGTCACATCCTGACAACTATCACCAAAGAGAATTTCCTTTGAAAAGCACTGTCTACGTGGTTCCAGAGATCGCCCAGAGCCTTCTGTGAAGAGTTTTAACTTTAAGCCTTTAGTGCTGCCCAAGACAGTACGTAATACTGTGACCGACTCCAAGTAGATTTGACGATGATAGCAGGACAAGGGCAAAGGTGGAGTTTTATTCTCTGCTACATTACTGCCTGCATACAAAGACATCTTCGAGACTACAGGCGAAGCTCCACTTAGAAATACCAAAGAACCCAAGCCGTGAGCATAACCAGCATGCAATTTGCTATCTACCGGAAAGTAGAAACTGAGACCGCGAAAGTGTAAAGCAAATAATTGCTTGGCCGCATCGTATACGCCCGGATGAGTAGCACCAAATGAATGTTCGATTTGTTCAATCGAGGGTAACACCTCGGGCGAATTAAAATACACACCACCGTACTTTAGCTTTACTAACTTCATGTTGCAAACCTCAATTATCTTTAGGCGTTGGTTGACGGGATCGAAAATCAATCTTAGGCCATCTTGTGGCAAATTAATTATAATATCTACACCCAGGGGATTGGTGTCGGAGTACAGAACTTGCACTCCTTTAATAATGCCCACTTGAGATTGTATTATGGCAATAGCTTGAGAGAAATGCATTCCCAAAACGAATTCCCATGCATCACAGCCCAAAGAGATTTCAGGCACTATTTCCAAATCCAACATTGTTAAAGGTTGATTTCAATAGCTAAAACAATACATACACAGCCATCCATACAATGATATTAATAATTTATCACACTCATCAAAAGTCAATACACTTACCTTTTTCTAAAGATAAAACAAAAAAAAAACGAAACGAAACTAAACAAAACTGTTGGCAGACAGTGGCAGTGTTATGATTAGAATTCTTCTTAAATCTTATCAATTATTTTCTATGATTTTGCAAGGTCTCCAAATAATAATATTATTTTGTTGATTGACCCTGATATGAGCAAATTTTGTTAATTTTTGTTGTTTTTTTTTTTTTTTGTATTGTTTTTGCTTTTCTTTGTTACGGGTCCTCTTCTATTTTTTTAACTGAAACGTAATTATTATTTAATGACTTTTCTCACTAACTTAATTTTGAAATAATTACCCTTTTCTTGTAAAACACTAATTTATTTAGTATGTTACTGTTGTTTAAGCGATTTTCATTACTATTCCTTAAAAATTCGTTATAATAATATGAAAATTTGTTTATGTCGTCTTAATTTTTATTTTTTCTGTATTTCGTTTTAAATGAAGAAAAAAAGACTCACTAGTAAAACCCACTCATTTGACAACAGAAAACGAAAACAAAGAAAAAATCACTCAAAAGTCAAAATAACTAACAGCTGTTCAATAGTTATTTTAAAAATGGCTCCCTAACATCAAAACAAAACTTGGTGGTACTGTATGGCAAAGTTGTGCAAATTTTTGGCGCAAAAGTAAATACAATAAATTACAATATTTCTACTTACTTTTAATATAATACTAATTAATTTTATGTATATATTGTAGACTTTACACAGTATGATTAGATTTTTGTATGAAATTGTTTTTTTATGCTCTAGGAATGATAATATTTAGAATAATACGGAGAGCACCTTGTATCGATGCTAAACAACACAAAATTTTGGTAATATATAACTTGGCAGCACTTTCACTTGTGATGATCAAAGAATAAAATACCCATAAGTACTTTTGGTATTAAGAGGGAAGAAATTGGAATTTCAAATCATTTCCGTATTTGCTTCAAAATAAAAAAATTGTATTGAAATTTCTTTCGGATTTTTAAGTAGTATTGAATAATTATTTTTTTTGTCAACAACTTAAAATATTCGATTTTGATAGGAAATCTCTAATGAAAAAATGTGAGTTTTTAAATTAAAATTATTTTTATTATATGTATTAAAGTCCCATCTCGATTTCTTATAAACTAGACAAGCAAAATATTGGTGCTATGTATCTCACAAAGGCTGAATGCCTTCAGTGGGAACAGGACTATCACATACTATACAGCAAAACTTTGAATCTGTAGTTATATTAGCGGTCAAACAATAATAACAATAGATATGATCACAGCCCATATAATGGGGCAAAGTGGGACGCTCGCCACAATATGCGCACGCGGATGAGAGCAAAAGTTTAGGTTTTACTTGTAAAGGTTGCTGCTGGGTATCCACTATACTTGATGCTTTTTTGTAACTAAATATACTTTTACCTAGACGTTGCAATTTCCGAAAATTAATAATTGGTAAAACCAATCCCAGAATTTCCTATAATAAAGAGATAAGTAAAAGCGATTGTTACCAGATATTTCGTATTTGAGAAAATTCTTACCATAAATCCTCCCCACAATAATTCTCTGGTCAAATATTTATAACCAATATCTCTTCGCTGATTATGACGTAGACTTACATAGTCTAGGCCCAAAAAGAAATCAATTAAAGTGGGCTTTCGGCCGGTTTTCAGAAATCTAAAGAAATTTAATATAGATAAAACCAGAGCAGCATTCTCGCCATATTCCAAACATTTGTGTAACCATTCATAACGTCTATTTAGTCTACGTTCTTCCAAACTCTTGACATAACTAGGTAGAACAGTTAAGCAGAAATGTAAAACCAAACGGGATAATGTTAAACGTTCGGAATCGTAAGCTAAAACCAGTAATTGTTGACCAAAAGTGGAACAACGTTTTCCCACGGAGCCAAACCAAAGAGCTGACTGAATAATTAAGTCTAATTCAGGTTGTATTCTTACAAACAAAACGGGCTGGTTCGTAAAAAATTAATACATATTATATTAATTATTAAACTACAAAAATATTTTACAAACTCACCGATATGGCCTGTAAATTCTCTAAAAGATTATCTCTTATCAGTCGTGTAATATCTTTGTTTAAATTTATGGCATCAATCTACAAAGATTTTTCAATAAAATCAATATAATCTTTATTTTGTACAATTGTATATCTACCTGATTTACACGAGGAACATATTGGTTTTTTGTGTCCACTTTGGAATGCATTTTAACAAATTCTGTTTTGTTTATTAAAAATTAATTGTACTATGCCCAGTGATATCAAGGAATAGAAATAATACAAACACTGTAATCAAAACAAAATACGAAAAATAATAATTTAACTAGACAGCACTTTAAAAATAGCATGTCTGTAAATAAAAAATCCAATAAAAACTTGACAGCACTTGAGTACAGCTGTTCATATTGTTTGTAAACGAAGAAAATAAGGAAAAAAGTGTAATTTTTCTCAAACAATTAAGAAAAATCATTTAATTTGATTTTTGGTCAAAAATTTGAACAAAATGAGCTCACCTTCGATTAAGACCAACAATGATACACTCAATAATAAACAACGTAAGTCGACAAAAAGTAATTCTACTACAAAATCAACCAATTTAGATACTAGAGCAGAACTGGCCGATTTGATCAAGAAAAAGGCGGAAACTTCAGTAAGTTCAATATAAATATAAAAATATTTATTTTTCAAAACTATCTCCCGCACAATAAATCTTTAGGAACAACTGGCTAATTTGGAAAGACAAATATATGCATTTGAGGGTTCATATCTGGAGGACACTCAATTGTGTGGCAACATCATACGTGGTTGGGAAAGATATTTGACCTCGAATAAGGCAACCAATTCCAAAGCCGATAAGCGAAATCGCAAATTTAAAGAAGCCGAACGATTATTTTCCAAATCCTCTATTACTTCTATGGCCATATGTAACCGTAAGTTAAAAATTACACCATTATAACAAGCTATGCCATATTTATATTATGAATTAATTTAGCTGAAAGAGCCAGTGAATCTGATTCTGTTACTAACGAAGATTCTAGCGACAATCAGATAGCTTTAAACCAAAACACAACAACGGCACACGATGGTACCACCTCTATTAAAAGCTCAGGCAAAGAAGAGAAATCTGACCGCGCTTCTACACCGCAAAGGGAACCGAATAAAGAACCCACTACACCCAGTGGCAATACATCGACCAAAAGTAAGCTTTCCTCATCAAGTGTAACCGCTAAAAAAGGCGGTCATATTAATAAGAAGATAAGACATCGATGATTTAGGGGTCGGCCGCGGCACCGTTCTACTTACTAATACGAAAGCCGCGACCTTACAGGGTAAACATTATTATGGCCCGCACAAGTGGTATAGGTTGAAAAATACAAGACAATTTTTTCTTATTTCTTCACATAATTACTTATTTTTAAAAAGCCTAATTACGTATTTGTGTAGAATTTTATTCTTTGCTTGTAATCTTACAATTAGAGTTCGAAATAAAGATATAAAGGCAAACAAAATTGTTTATCGTATGTTTAAACTATAAAACCATAAAATAGATGACCAGCACAATAACAACCAACGTAACAAACATACCACCCAACATTACATACTTATCCTCAACAAATCTTCGTTCAATCAATTTCATTGTATGATTGGACAAACCTAATGTACTACCAATAGTCATCAGGCGTTTTTGGGCCCCTTTTAACGTGCTACGTTGATTTACCAAACTACTGAGTATATTACCGCCTGTTGCAATCATATCATCAACGCCCCGATGAGCATTACCCAACTGGGTATTGTGTTGTAAAGCATAATCGATATCGAGACATGTTTCAGCACTATTGGGTGCAAATCTGTGACTTAATAACTGTTCACGTTCTGACAATTCCTGTTGTTTACGCTGTCTCTTTTCTCTAAACATTTGCAAACTACTCTGAAGGTGTCGGACATCATATTTTATTTGATCCACCCGCATTTTTGCGCTCTGTCTTTGTGAGGCCGGCACTTTGTAGAGTAAAACATCTAAACGGTCACAATTGCTGCAATAATTTCAAATATATTTAATATGGAACACATCATATCCAAATGGGCTAATTTGAACTTACGAATTTACTTGTGTTATTTTCATTTGTATCTCATTTTCCACATCATAATTATCCGGTTGTCCAGCAGTCTGTACTAATTTTTGAAAGCTTTGCTCAATCTCTTGTAATATTCGATTTGTTTGATGATATAAAGTCTCCATATTTGTCGGTATTTCTTTTAAAAATTATTCTTTAATCCTGATCCAATTTGTTTTCTAGTGATGCAAAAACATGAAATTGTAGTTGTTTTTTTGTTGTGACGTGTGTCATCTACTCAGAGTCCTGAGTCGATCAAAATCAATGACGGTAACTGTTTAAAATCTCCAGTCAGCCGGCTAAAAGAAAATTAATAAATTGCTCAAAAAATAAAAATATACACTTAAAATATGGGAACATATTGAGCATAAGCTCATTTAAGATAAAATATGTATATTCACAGAAAACTATATAGTTTTCTTTACAAAATAAAACAACGGATAGATTGGGTGATCTGGCAATACTATATATGTAGAGCTATCAATAAAGTACGGTAACTTGACCATTTGCGGAGGATAGGAAAGTACTTGGCAACTCTTAGCTGGTGGCCATTTTTACAATCGTCGTCGGTCGTATCAAATTGGGTTTCGTATTTTAATCAGAAAAATATTTTTATTTTTCATTTAATACATATTTTGGAAATTTTTCATAAAATAAATCATTCGCAACTCCTTTTAAATTTAAGGAGTTTAAAATATTCGAAAAAATAGAACTACAATTTCAAACACAAAAGTTGACGTCATAAGTTTTTTCTGTGCCAAACGAAACTTGGTTCGTGTGTTCGCTCGCACCACAAGTAAAAGAAAAAGTCGCAATAATTCGTAATTTTTACGAAAAAAACAAGAACTATCGTAAAATTTTATATTATTTTTGAAATTAACAAATTCTTATTAAATATTAACAAAGAGAAATAATTTTCTTTGGGTAAAATTTGTAAACATGGCTCAGTAAAAATGTCTAAATTAAAATTAAATAAAGTTACAAAACCTCCATGTGGAGACAAAGTTCGTCGCATTAAATCTTCGAAAGCGAAGAGGGCAAGTGGTAGTAGAAAAACTTCCAAGGATTCTTTTAAATTTCATCAGTGTCACCAGTTGGAAACCGTTCAGCTGATTTCTTTATCTTCTATCTATTTCTATAATAAGTATAACAACAATAACAAAAATGGACAAGGACAACAAGAAACAAAATTATTCTTCAAGAACTGGCAATACGAGAACATCCAATCAAACAACTGATTCAAATTGTCAAAAATCATCTTCTGGTGAGTATATATATACTTGCATTCGCTTATATATTTCTCTTTGCTAAGTAATATACGTAATAATTGAAGATATACAAACAAATAAACATTGGCCAAAAAACTCACGTCGTCGTGAAAACCCCTCAACATCGGCACGCAATAACAACAACAGTAATAGTAAACAACAACAATCAGCAAAAGTACGTCCGAATGTGGACAAAAGACCACGTGCCCGAGGCTATAATGGCTACAACAACAACAACTCCGGTGGCTCATATCGTGGCTCTAACGAAAATCACTTTACTACCGGCACCGGATTAGGGTATGGGGATACAACGTTCTATGGAGCAGCTGTAGAACGTTTTGAGCCCAACGATTATGAGCTAAATTCCATTTATGCTCCCGGCAGCAAGAAACAGAATTTAAATCATTTATTGAATTTTTACTATACTCCACGTGAAGTGGACTATTACGATGGTGTTAACAGCGCTGGTAATGGTGGTAGCGGCAATGGTTATAACCAACGTCATGGTCATGTTAAAAGGCATAAATACAATAAAGAACAGTTTTTACAAGCAAAGTAAGTATTATAGGTAATGATTTTTCAAAGAAACGAAATTTATAATTGTTTACTCTTGTATCCAGCTTTCAATTTGTTATAAAATCATCGGCTAAACGTAAAACCGATGACTCGCCAGACACCCTCATCGATTGGTCTTTAATCGAACAGATCAATATACAGACACCCGATGAACCACAGTGTCCCATTTGCTTATATCCACCAGTGGCTGCTAAAGTAACACGTTGTGGTCATGTCTATTGCTGGCCTTGTGTTTTACACTATCTTTCTCTAAGTGACAAGACCTGGCGTAAATGTCCCATATGTTATGATGCCATACATGTGGGTGATTTAAAAAGTGCTTCTATTGTTCAACAGCAAGCCTTTAATGCTAACTCTCGCATAACCTTCCGTTTGATGCGACGCAAAAAGGGCTCTTTATTCATAGAACAATATGATGGCGATAAAAATGAAGAAAATATCGAAAAATATCCATATGTCAGTAGTCCCCTGAAAGAGAAACTATTCTCGAAGTTCATATTAGCAAAACGTAGTGATGTAGCTGATATCTTATCGCGCGAACAAAGAGAACTACTGACAGATGTGGATGAGTCTTGTCCAGAATATGTATTCATACAACAGGCCCTTGAGTTGTTAAAAGAACGAACAGAATTACTGGGTGACATCGAACTAAAGGATGAGGAAAAATATAAATCTGAAGAAATTGCTGAAAACATCGAGGAAAAAGGCAAATTTGAAGTAACTGCACAAGAAGGGCTTATAAATGACAATATCAGTAATATTGAACATGCAGAACTTCAAGCTAATAATGAGCTAAAAGAAACTGAAGAAGCTACGGACTCCAACAATGAGGCTTTAAATAAACAAGAAATCAATGCTGAAGAAGAAACTTCAGAAACGTCTTCTAATACTGATACTATTTCATATACTCAAACAGCATGTGCTCAAAAGTCATCGCCAAATAAATTTTATTATTTCTATCAATCTGAGGATGGTCAGAATATTTATCTACATCCATTAAATGTGAAAATGTTGCAGGCTTGTTATGGCACCTTAGCCGATGCACCTCCTGTTATTAGTGCTCGAATTATACAAAAGGAACAGCATTCAATGGATGAAGATCATCGTCGTAAATTTACCTGTTTAGGCCACTTACCATTGACTTGCCAATTTGCTGTAGTGGAAATTGAATTGCAACCACCTTATGTCACCGAGGACATAATACAAGCCTTCAAGGGCGATATATTGTTTCGCAAAAAGGAACGTCAACGCCGCGCTAGGGAAGAACGGGAACGTGAGAAGCACATAAATGCCATAAATGAGCGGCAGATGGGAAAACTTGTAGCTAGTACAGCTAATATAAATATAACATCGTCCCATGAATTTCCAACGGTAAGTTGTAACATTATAGATATTAGGGTAACAACTGGTTATATTTTTTGTATTACAGTGTGGTTTCGAGGAATCTCTAGTGCCCGCCAGCGACCTAGATATGACCGATAATGTTCCCTCAACTTCTAAAGGTGGACGCACTAAAACTGTTAGCACCAGTAGTGCTGGCAGTTGCAGTTATTCTGCTATTGCTATACACTGCAAAAAGGAACATACACCTTGGGCTAATCTAAATGCAGCTCAAATGAAACCAACTTTAGCTGCTGCTGCTGGCAATCAGTTAACAACCGATGATGGCGAGACTTCCATTTTGAATACTATACAAACTAATTTAGGCGATGTTTTGGCTCAAGCTTTATCGCAAAAGAAGGAAAGAAAATGTACAACAAAAGCCAATGAATCAACCAATAATAACAACTCAAATGCCACTGGTGGTAATAAGAAATCGAAAAAAACTAAGAAAATGCTTCCTCTATATTCTACCGGCATGAATTTTGGTGGTAACAACTAAAGCAGAAAACTAAACTTTTATTTTTGTTTGTTTTTAAAAATTGATTTTTATTTAAGATGTCTATCTAACTATAGTTTCGTTTTTTTGTGAAGTGATTTAAGAAATCTATTAAATATTATTATTTAACCATTATATTATTGAAATTACAATTCATTATTTACAAAATACTTAATAAAACATAACAAAAATTAATATAACCCCATTCATTTTGGTTTTACTTTGAAACGATTTAAATAAAAACCAACGATGCCGGCAGGGGTTAAATAAACAACAAAATACAAATTACATTGCATACTTTAGGCTTAACAAATTTCTTAAAAACATAACGTGACCAACAGATTCTGGTTAAGGTTCGCCTGGTAGAAAGGAAAAAAATTTTAGATTTACACTTTTTTATTGATTTTTTAAATAAAACACCATTTTTCATTTAAAATTAAATTCAATTTGTATAAGAATTTGTCTTTTTTATTGAATTTCAAAGCAAGTCCAAAATATATTACAAAATATTCATGTTCTTTCTCAATTGGTTTTTTATATTTGTGGTTGATTTTGTTAATTTTTCTTAATGAATTTTCAAACGGAATTTTGTTTTGTAATTAAAAAAAATTCTCATAATAATGAGATTGCAATACATTCATTGTTTTATTAAAACTATTTACACAAACGTCGTAGCCATGCTTCTTGTATGGGTGTTTTTTTAAATACATATATTTTAATATAATTTACTTAAGAAATGATAATTTCTTATTTTATAGCTCTTTAACAACAAACAGCATGGCCAGTAAGTAGTATGTTTCTTATATTTAAATAAACAAATTATTAAAAAAAAAAACTAATTAAATATAGGAAACAATTTAAACAATAGTTTAAGAGCAACATGAAATTAGTAAAATGGTTTATAAGTAAATTATAATTAAATTAAATTATAAATAAAGGACAAAATTATAATAAATTAAAAAATATTTAGAAATACACTAAGACTAAAGAGGGCGAGCAGAAAAATAAAGATTTACAAAAAAAAAAAAAACTAATAATGCATTTGCTAATAAAAAAAAATCTATAAAATACAAAAATATTAATAGAATTTTCAGCTAAAAACGTATAAAATATTAAATTTTAGGGCTTTTTCTAATTTTTGAAAATACGCTTTTGCAGTTGTTTCTTTTAAAATATGATTTGTATTTTATAAATACAATTCAATACGTACATACATAACAACAACCAATATCCATACATTCTACACATTCAATGTGTTTTCAATTCAAATTGCAAAGTTAGCAATTTGTAATTATTGTGGTATGATGATGAGGAGAAGGAGAAGGAGTAGTAGTAGTAAGTAGTGTTTGTTTTCATTTTCTAAATAAATAACGACGATGAGTTTAGTTCTTTAAAAAAGGCGTATGTTATATTAAATTTAAATATTTCAAATAGATTTGTTAATTTTTGTTTAAACTCTCTTATTCAAAAAAGATTTGTTTCTTCTGTTGTTGTTGTTGTTTACCATTATTATTAAAACTTCCTAAATGTTGCTTGTTTGTTTGTTATACCCGCTACAATACAATAATTATAAGTGTTTCTACACAATTATGTTTGTTTTATTAAGCAGCCATCCATCCATATATAATGGTAATATTTTTTCAAAATTTAATTACTTCTACGCTCAAATTCCACATCATCATCATCATCATCGTCTTCTTCGTCCGGCGAATACTGATCATTTCTGCGTAACGTTGTGGGACTATCGACCACACGTCGATGATAAGTACGTCTACCACGCGGTGAATGTTCCATATGAATATTTACCTCAGGACCATTATCACTTGATCCCCTTGATGCCACACCATCATCGTCGAGAGCCTCATCATCTTCATCATCGTCAAAGTCAATATAATCACCATTTACTGAACCACTTGGACTACCAGGTGGACTGAGGGCTTGTATCAATTTTCCCTTCGATTCGTTCCACAAATGATGAAGACGTTCACGTCCGAACAGTAATAGGAAAGCGTCAATAAATTCACGTGATTTTTCTTCCCATTTTGTTATGATATCACCCTTGACTTTAGTCAATTCACGACGTCCACGATCTTTAAGTTCGTCCATTTTGTTTTGTAAACGGAATTTCTTTTCGGAAAGAAATGAGACATTCAAATCTTTAGCCGAATAGCCACGAGCTAAATTACGTCGTACGTACAAATCGTAATCTTTAACAATGCGAGCAACAATATCTGAAGTAGAGACTCCTGGAAATACGACATAAAAAAGAATTGTGAAATTAGTTTTGTGAAATATAGAGTTTTTAGTAAAAAATATAGATATTTTAGAGAAAAATTGCGTTTTTAACGAAAATTAAGTTGGAGATTTATAAAAAATGGAATTTTTAGTGAAAGTTTGATTGTTTTTTTTTATAAAAAATTTTATTTTTAATGAAATATTTTATTATTAATATAAATTTGGAATTTTGTAATGAAAAGATTTTTGGTCAAAAATTATTAATAAAAAATTTTAATCTTTCGTATAAAATCGAATTTTTAGTGCAAGTTCGCTTTTTTTTGTGAACAATTTTATTAAAAAAAAGTATTTAAATTAAAAATTTTCTTTAATTTCTTACCTTCAGTACGTTCAGTTGCCACAAACATGCCTTTAGCCTTTAACCAACCATAAATATCATCAACTCCATCGCCAGTATATGGAATGTCATCATGGGCAACAAAATCAATTTTGTTGGAAGTAATAAATTCATCATTCAAAGTCCAAGGAGCATTTGGAATAATCTGTTGAAGAAAATTGTTTAGTAAATTTCTATCAAATCATCCGCACACACACAAATAAAGCCAAAAAAAAAAAAAAAAACTAGATATTTACCTCATCAACATAACGACAATGACGTACGCCTTCATAGCGTTCAAAATCATTCATTACTGTGCGGCCCTTCATTTCATGGGTGAGTTCATCATTGCAAATACCCACAATCAAATAGACATTAGGGAAAATATTTTTAGCCTGTAATTATTAACAGATAATTAAAAAAAAAATAAATAATTAAATTGTATAATGATGATTTTCTTATTTCTGTTTAATTTACCTGCATTAATTGTCTGGCATGACCTTGATGGAATAAATCATAGATACCATCAGCATAAACACGTACTCTTCTAGAGGTTTGACCGCTGCGGGCCATTTGATACGTTATCTTATAGTTATAATCACAGCGATCACGTTCACGTACAGCCTCTTCATCGGTGGAAAATGGTGCAGGTTTGCAAATCGTCTAAAAACACACACAAAACAGATAATAGAGGAGGAAAGTTAATTTTCACTGTTTGCTTTTAATTTGCTCAGTAAAATAATAAGTTATTACGTATTCTTTAAAGTCCATGTGTAAAGGCAACATTTTTACAACCGCCATTTTGTTTCGTTTATTTTTAATTGAAAACTTCTATTAATAAGAAAAATATTTTGATCAAAAATAATTTGTAATGCAACGCTTTGTTTTTTCGATGACGTTTCAAATTTATAATTTTGCTGCAATTGACAAATTTTTATTCCATTACTATGTTCTTTTTTAATTTTATTATTTTTATTAAATCTCGGAAGCTACTACAGTGTTACTCGTTGAAGTTCCTTTGGATAAATGACTAGATTTTTGATTTTGCAAATTTGTTTTACTTGGATCTCTATATGTACATAACGCTTCATCATTTATTGTTCGTTTACGAATAAAACTACTACTGCTACCACTACTATGATGATTTTTTTGTCCAGTAAATTGAGTCTTCCTCTATGTTTGTTTCAATTAAAAGAAATTAGTCTTCTTTATAATAAAAACCCGCTACGCTATATAGTCGTATATAAAAATGAATACATAGTAAGCCGGCGACTCGGCTTTAAGAATCAAGTGACAAACTATTCTTTATATTGGCAATTTATTGGAAAGAAATAATACTAAAAAAGCAACCATCAACAACAGCGTTATTAAGTAGTGTACAGTGGGTTCAATGAATATGAGTGTGTATTGTTTTAATTTACCAAAACGAAACCAATTATGTAGAATATTTGTGTGTTAAATTAATTTTTGATTAAAGGAAAGAAATGAACCGACACATGAGGGTATTACATTAAGATTCAAAAGAATGTATTTATTTGTTTATCTATCTATCTATCTATCTATCTATCTATCTATCTATCTATCTATCTATCTATCTATCTATCTATCTATCTATCTATCTATCTATCTATCTATCTATCTATCTATCTATCTATCTATCTATCTATCTATCTATCTATCTATCTATCTATCTATCTATCTATCTATCTATCTATCTATATATCTAGATATCTATCTATCTATCTATCTATATATCTATATATCTAGATATCTATCTATCTATCTATCTATCTATCTATCTATCTATCTATCTATCTATCTATCTATCTATCCATCTATCTATCTATCTATCTATCTATCTATCTATCTATCTATCTATCTATCTATCTATCTATCTATCTATCTATATATCTATCTATCTATCTATCTATCTATCTATCTATCTATCTATCTATCTATCTATCTATCTATCTATCTATCTATCTATCTATCTATCTATCTATCTATCTATTTATCTATCTATCTATCTATCTATCTATCTATCTATCTATCTATCTATCTATCTATCTATCTATCTATCTATCTATCTATCTATCTATCTATCTATCTATCTATCTATCTATCTATTTATCTATCTGTATATCTATATATCTATCTATCTATCTATCTATCTATCTATCTATCTATCTATCTATCTATCTATCTATCTATCTATCTATCTATCTATCTATCTATCTATCTATATATCTATCTATCTATCTATATATCTATCTATCTATCTATCTATCTATCTATCTATCTATCTATCTATCTATCTATCTATCTATCTATCTATCTATCTATCTATCTATCTATCTATTTAAAAAAATAACCTAAAATTTTACGACTTTGATTTGTAATAAAAAATACTAAACACACCTGAAAAGTTATTATCTCAAACTTATTAGAGATTAGCAAATAAATTGAAGAATGGAAGGGAAAGAAGAAAATAATCTCTACGATAAGAAACGGGGTGATACCAAACCACATAAACAATAACCAGAAAAGAATTCAGGTTTATGGTACTACCTAGCAGGAAATATTAAAATATTCCCTTCCGAAAATCGTAAGTTATAAAAATCGTTGTTTTCACGGCAGCACCAAATCGATTCCAAGTTTGACCATAATCCTAATATGTATTCTTTTTCCCTTTTAAACATATTAAATTGCAAATGAAATTGTTATTAGATGAATAAGTATAAAATTTCATTTGTTTTATCATAACCAATCAATTACATCAATTAAAAACTATTTGTTTTGATTAAAATTAATGAAAACTATATACAAATCTGTTTTGTGTTTTTGCTACAGTTCGAATTCTTAAGTTAAATAAATAAAAAAAACGATTGTACATAATATACATAAAAATGTAAACAAATGATGCAAATACATATGTATGTACAGTAGTTTTTCGATTTAACGAACCTATATGTTGCCAGGCCTGTTCGTTAAATCGAAAAGTTCGTTATATGCAGTACTAACTCGAAAGTGTCTTTTGGGTACATAAATAATTAAAATTACATAAAATCTAATTTATAAAAATATGTTCCAGGAAATATAATTTCTTTAGACAATATTTTATAAGAATTTTATGAAAAACTAGCAATTTATATCACAATGTAAAAACAATAAAGAAATTTGAAAAAACTCAGTTTATTTCGTATAACTAATCTACGTTCTGGAAAAGCACTCGGACGACATAATTCTTAAAGAAGTTTAAACCCAATGGCTGGAATTGCGATGAATCTGAACCTGGCCTCAGAATTCCTTAGGAAATAGATTAATGTAAAGTTATTAAAGCGTTTCATTGTTTCACAGTTTCATCGTTTTCATTCTTTGAGATATCTGATTCCAAAGTTTTTTGAAATATTTTTCCTTTATTTCACAGCTATTCCTGTAAATATCCTTTTTCCAAAAGAAAAACTATTTATATTGTTTATTCTATAACATATCGTTTCCAATTCTTAGAATTGGAAAAAATTATGGTCACAGTGAGGACTTGTTAGTTTGGCGAAAAATAAAAGCGAAATGTTAAGGTATACGATTGGCTAAGTCTTTATTTTGAACACCAATTTCTATGATTTCAAATTCTGAGGCCAAATTCGGGTTGAGCACGAGCTTCTAGAAAAGTATACATTGGCCTCTCTAAACATTTTTTGTTTCGATTTTCTAATTCGATCGACATTAGTTTTTGCGACATTAAGGATTGTGGATTTGATTATCTCATATTTTTGTATAAATCTTTAATAAAAAAATCTCAGATTATCTAGAATATTCATTTTACTAAATTAGAAAAAATCAACTCTCGAAATCCATATTCGAAAGCAATGGAAAAGTAATAACGTCGAAGCTTTTCTGACATGATTTTTAGTTATTTTTGTTAATTTAACTCTAATTTAAATTATTTTATTTATATTTGTTCGTTAAACTGAGTACAAAACATATTTTTTGTTCGTTATGTAAGGTACTCAATGTAAAAATATTGATAGTTCGCTAAAGGCGATGTTCGTAGAAACGAATGTTCGTTAAATCGGAAAACTACTGTATATAAAAACACATTTACATACATACAATATAAAAACAGATTGTAAACAAAACAAAAAGAAACCTTTCATTTCAAATAAAATTGTCTGGTACTGGTACTACTCTGAGATGATGATGGCGTGATAATGTACTAACTACATGATAATGATGTTTGTTTGTATGTACCAATACATTTATAGTCACAATCATTAATTTGACTGCTTGCTTTCAACGTCGACATTTTTTTGTAGTTTCCTCGCCCGATTGTTTATTTTTATAACAGTTACATTTATTTAAATTTTCTATACATTCTATATATACAATAATAAAAAAAACTAATTTTATTAATTTGCCGTCCAAGAAGAATCGTATGTTTGTTTACATTATTGTTTGTCGTACAGAAAATTGACTCGAGTACAATGACGAGCTTGAAAGAAAGTAATTTGTTGAGGTCACGTGAAATAAATTGTATTATGTATTGTATATATAGTACAATATATTAAATGGACATTAAACCTGCCTCCTATTCGTTACGTTATAGGTTTTGATTAATTACATTTGGGGTGGGGAATTGCGTATAACAACTTTTATGCGTTTGAATGCTTTATAACTTGTTGAAGATAGTAATAATTTTGTTCAGGTTAGGCTGAGGATACTACGAAATAATAATTATGTCTTAAAATATAGATAATTCGATAGATAGATAGATAGATAGATAGATAGATAGATAGATAGATAGATAGATAGATAGATAGATAGATGGTATACTAGGTAAGGTTTGCTTTCTTTTTTAAAAAAACCTCTGAAGAATTTTGTGCTTGAAATCACCATAAAATACACTTTATTTTTATTCCATGATGTAATTTTATTATAAGAAAATTTGAAAATAAAAATCTCCAAAAATTGCGCATATTGCTACTAAATTATTAGCTACACATGTATAATGGACATAATACTACCATATAAAATGTATTAATTTAAAGATCATTCTTAAATAATATGTATATTTCCATATGTTTGTACAAAACTTTTGACTTTGAGATGTTTGTTATAGTCTAGTATCTTTTGCAAGCATTTGTTGGTGTTTTTTTTAATTTAAATTCTATTATAAATGTTTTTTATTTGTTTATTTCTAAAGTTTAATATTTTTGCAAAAATCTACGCATCATTTCTAGTTGTTTACAACAACAAAATGAGTTCATATTATACGTATTATCACCACTATATATAAATATTTTTCCCGGTAAGAAGAATATAAAAAAAGAGAACAAAACATGATGCAATAATGACGACGTGTCTTTTTATTTTGCTTGTTTTCATAATGTTTTTTAGAGGAGATCCCCATTGAATAATAACATATTACATATATACATGTACACATTTTTTACTGCGGTCTACATACATACATTTGTATGTATGTAGTATGTGTTTATATTTAGCAATTTCATTTGCAATTTTCAGGTCCAATGAAGCATTTAAGTTTACATTATGATATAGTTTAGTTTAAACTATTATAATTATTATATTAATAAACTTTTAAAACATTATGGTTAATTAAGGTTAAAGTTTGTTTTATAATGGCTTAAAGTTTATAAAAATGTTTAGTTATTATAAAAAATTAAGTATCGTATGTTGAACTTTAACTCTTAAAAAGATGTTAACGCGTTACTTTCATTGTACTTAATGAATGGTAGTTTTAAGACTATTTTGTAGTATGGAAGTCT